GTCTTCTCCAGTAAGTCATGATTTACACAGGTCTTAAAAGCACTATTTCCAGACTTAACGTGAGGAAAAAAGATTTTCCCTTTTAAACTGAAGGGAAAATATCCCTAATAATGTTAAGAACTTAGCTGGGCTGAGTGCTATAACCTAGGGTGGAGTGTGAGCTTGTTATATGTGGTGGCTGAGTCTGATCCTTAGCACCCAGAGAAGGAAGAAAATAGCAACAAAACACAAAGAACCCAATACTAATATGATGGTGCTTGGGTGGGCTCTCAGGAGCTCTAACTCAGTCAAGTGGAAAGAGGCAAAAAAGACAAGAGGGGTGCAGTTTCCCACTGATAGGCAAGTGCTGGGTAACAGGAGGCTCTGATTTGATAATAGATCCAAGGTTATTCTTGGAGGGTTTAAGATGCCTTTATAGAAATGAAAGGCTCTGTGGGGTACATTAGTTTCTAAGTAAGAAATGATACACAGACTTAAGATCAAAATGGAACTGAGTTAGGCCCAAAGGGCTGAAACAAGTGTCACAATGTTTTTTACGCATATGTTTATAGCAGTGTAACAAGTGGCAGCCAATTCATCATTAGGAAGTGTTTCCTGAAAACCACTACAAGCTGTAGTTCACCACTCACATTCATGTTTCCCATTAGCTTTGCTAGTTTCTGAAGTATGTGGCTCCCAGGGCCAGATGGGCACAGTGCACCATGCAGGCTGCTCTAGGGCTGGGATCTGGAAATATAGACTGTGATAGTCTGTTCCTGCAGGGTGACTTCTGCTCCATTCATATTTGGGGGACATTCCTAGAGTGAGTGAGAAATCTCTCCAGATCAGCTATTTCTTTACTGTTTCACTCAGTTAATGGTAGGGGTTGTGTCTCTCTTTATCTGGGCCTTAGCTTAACCTGACCCATACTCTAGGCTCCCTTTGATGTTCTTTCTTATTTTGGCACCTGTGGTGTTTTGAATAAGAATGGCCCCTATAGGCTCATATATTTGAAGCTTAAGTCACCAGGCAATAGAATTGTTTGAAAAGATTAGAAGGATTGGGAGGTGTGGTCTTGCTGGAGGATGTGTGGTCTGGGGTGAGCTTTGAGGTCTCAGAAGCCAGGGTCAGTCTCTTTCTCTTCCTGCTGCCTGTAGACCAGGATGTAGAACTATCAGCTACTGCTCCAGCACCATCTCTGCCTGCATGCTCTCATGCCATGATGATAATGCACTAACCCTCTGAAATCGAAAGCAAGCCCTAATGAAATGCTTTCTTTTATAAGCATTGTAGCCTTAGTCATGGTGTCTCTTTACAGTAATAGAAAAATAGTGACTAAGACAGCATGCAAATCATCAGAGTCTGAATACTCTACTTATTTACCAAAAGTCTGTTTTCTTATGTCCTCTAGTTTCTCCTCTGTACTATTACAATCAACTCCTTCTGATGTCTTTATTTTTAGCATGAGATTCTTTTATCTTGCTGCCCAAAGGATTTTACCTAATCCTCAGATCTGGTTGTCACTTGACAACTTGAAACCACAAAAAGGTGGCTCGGCTGCCTGTTCCCTGAGAACTAACTCTAGGTTCCATAGCAAAGACTACAAGCCCCGGTATATGTGGCCCTTTCCAGTCTCTGACTTGTTGTTTATTATCTAAGGTGCAATATTCTGCTTGTAGTTACGTGAGCTTATGCTGCTGCTGCATGCCACTGATCTGATGCCAGTGACTGTGAGTGTAGAATCATCTACACTCTCCATATGCTTCTATCAAAACAAGCTGCAAAAATGTTCCTGTTCGTACCTCACACTATAGAGCTCCTGACGGAACTTGAGTTGTCAAGCCCAAAACTCTTACCTTTCTAGGGCCCAGGTTCAGTGTTGGGCAAAGAGAGCATCAAAAATTTTCTGAAAGCACTAAGTTGAATGAAGCTAAGAATGGGGCCTGTTTGGATGTCTTGGTGGTGGTAAAAGGACTGTCTGCAGTGGAGGCTAGGCAATGACGGAAATACAGAGAAGCCTTGTTCAGAGAAGATCATAACGTAACTAGGATATTTTAAAGGAAGAGAAGGGATCCAGGATAGGGATGAAAAGGGATGTGCTAGACAAAGCAACACTTGAAAAGGCCTGAGGACCAAAGGACATGGTACACTCAAATGACTGCCTTGGGGTGGATACCTTTAATCCCAGCACTGGGAGGGTGGGTGGGGGAGGACGCACAGAGAGGGAGGGAGAGAGGGAGAGAGAGAGAGAGAGTGCATATAGGGTAAGTGTGTGTGAATGAAACTTGCTGGTACTGGGGTGAAACCTAGAGAGGCAGCCAGGGCCAATGCTATTGAAATAAGACCTATACCTAGGTCTAGACTACTTCTGTAATAGTTACTTTAGATATCAAAATTTGCAGATTATTTAAAAAAAATTTCACTCCTTTTTTTTTTTTTTTCATTTTGTTTTGGAGTCAAAGAAGTATGTGACCCAAGCTGGCTTTAAAGTCACTGTGTAGGCCAGACCGGCCTTGAACACATCATCCTGCCTCCTTAGCGTTAGGATGACAGCTGTGGCCTGCCCACCATATCCAGGTCGGTTATCAAGCACCACTTTATCTGTTTGGATTGTTATGGGTTGTCTTCTCTAGTGTTCGGTTTTGACTGGTTCCTGAAAAATAGTACCTCAGGAAGTTGTCAAAAATAAATGTGTTAATAACACAAAGAACAGAAAACTGTGCCACACAGAAGTGATCAATGGATCCCCTCGGTGACTGCCATGACAGTATTGCGCCTTGAGAGAGGATGGAAGGGGCTATTGGAAAGGCAGACTTTTTTTTTTTAATTTTTTTTTAGAGGAGAGAAGGAGCTATTTTTGAATTATATAGAGTATTGTAAAGGCTGGCATATTTCATTCCAAGGAAGTTTTATTTTCATGGTACGTAATGCTAGCAGGGTTCTCAGGTTTTAGGTAGAGGATACCTGGAGAAAGTGACCACCAGATTCCTGTGGAAAACACATCTGGTGTGAGGCACAGGCGACTCTCTGAGTGCATATCAGCATATAGTTGCTTACGCTGAAGCTCATTTTCAATTTGTGTTAGGCATAGCCTAGGTTTTTCTGTTGACTTCTACAGATTTGGAAAACTTGGCGTTTTGGCTTCTAAGTGACTTCCAGATGGAAACCTAAAAATGAAAGGTCCCTTACGAGGCTGTCTAGTCCAAGGACTTAGTTTTACCATCAAGAAAACCGAATCCTAAAACAAGTAACTCCAAGGTTACTCCAAAGGCTGCTACCTGTGTTTTACACAACCTGTTCCCACATGTGCCCTCTAGTGTGAACCTCTGCTTACTTTCAGTCCATTTATTTCTTGAGACAGAGCATCTTCTAGACTGCGAGGAACACTCCCAGTACTTCCTTACCTATCTCCTGTGTTCCATCAATATTAAGCACTTAGTTCTAGATGTGTATGGAAACTCCCACCATGAGGTTTAGTATTTATGTCCCCATTTCCTCCCAATCCACTGTCCTCAGGTAAAACCATGTGCTTAGGGTATGAGCTCACTCGTACAGCCCATGTGCTGTTCTCAAGTTGAAGGACAAATGTGTTTTCTCAGCAGGTTTCTAAAATACGAAGGACTTATTTGGGAGAGGTTTGGTGCACCTGTCCACAGACTGGGGTTGTGCATAGCCTGCCCTCCATAGAACCCAGCAGCTCAGTTCCTAGCGAAGGGCACATCTAGAACCAGGGCTGTTTCAGGCGTTAACTGAAAGGCCATCCAGCTCATAGCCTAGCCAGTCAGTCACCTAAGGGTATAATGCTGATAATGTCTGAAATAATAAAAAGTGAAGAATAGCTTGTTAAATAATCGGAACACTTGGGAAATAACTGTAAATAAGCAATCCATTAAAAAATTAGTTTCTTTCTTTTTTTTTTTTTTTTTTTTAACAGATTCTTGTTCTTAGAAGTATGGTTCAACCTCAGAGGATTCAGTTAATTATTCAGTAAGACACCAAATCTCAGAAAAACCCGGAAGGCTCTACAGAAATGTTGGGTCAGAAATATCAAAGATGCAGAAACTGTGAAGGTGGAGGATCTGAGAGCTTTTCCCTTTCTTATTTTTTCGGGGTGGGGCAGGGATGGTGGGGAGCAAGGTTTCTCTATGTAGCCCTGGCTGTCCTGGAACTTTCTCTGTACTCCAGGCTGACCTTGAACCCAAGAGATCTGCCTCCCAAGTGCTGGGATTAAAAACACACACCAACACCAGAACCATTGGCAAATTAGTATAGGGGACTCATACACAAGTAGGGGAATGGGCCAGGCATGGAAAAAATGGGCTGGGTTAAAAATGTAAGCTTTATTAAATGAAAGCGAGGTACACACATGGTACCTCATTAACATGTATAATTTTTGTGTGTTTATGCGTAACTTAAAATAAGTTTAAACTTTAAATTTTTTGAATTAGTACTCCTGTCCTCTTGTTGTTATATGTCCTAGACTCTAGGATGTAGAGGGAAGATCTTAATTCTGAGAGGCAGGATAAACAGTTTAGTTTTTAAAGGCTTAGCAACTCCTTTTATCTTTAACATTCCCTGTATATGTACCCCTAATCAGAATGCATCTGGTTCTTGGAACCAAAGTCGTGAATTAAAACACCCTTGAAAATGAAAGGGGTCCCTAGAGCAAGCCTTTAGTTTGTGGCCTTGTGGTTTGGACCTACTGCTTTCAACTTTTGTATTCTCAAGGCAAGTTTCATGTGTGCCACATGCTTGCTTGTCCTAACTTCTCAGTTGCGGCTTTACGCAAGACACTGACCAACGGTCCTAAAGTACCTACGTTGGTGTCAGTTCAGGGAAGATGTCCCACGGATTGAAGGGCAACCTTTGGCTCCACCCCTCCCTGGCCACGAGGGTCACACCTGAGGGGTCGGCAGTTGCACGTGTGCATCAGGGCACAGGACCCTGTCACTCTCCAGGCTGCCCCGCGACCCCTGGCGACAGAGTTGGGCACCCGATTCCCGGCCCTCCCCCCGGGTCACCTGTAATTGTAGGCGCTGAAATGCTTGCTCTCTCTCAGCATCGCCCGGTACAGATCTAAAACTTGTGCGCGGCTGGAGGCTGCCATGTTGGAAACAAACTAGTAACAAAAACAAACAGGTCCTTCTTCGTAGAGGTCCGAAGTTCAACTGGACCCAAATGTCAAACGATGCAAAAAGCACGCTGGAAAGCAGAAGCTCGGCCTGGCTTGCGGCCTGGCTCGCGTCCCGCGCACGAGGAGGCGGCGCAGGCAGGGCGGCGGGCAGCTAAGAGGAGGTGCTCGCGTCCTGGAGGCTCCGTGTTGCTCACAGGCTACCCCAGCGGCAGGAGGTCAGGCCGTCCTGCCCCAGGCACGCTCCTTGGCGGGACGGTCACGGGCCGAACACCGTGGCTCTCAGCCTCCGCAGCCTGCACGCTTCCGAACCGCCGGGGGGCGTGGTCGAGACCTGACACCACGCCCCCTAACCTGCCCAGGCCCGGTTGCCCGGGTTACGAAGCAAGCCCATCGCCCCGCCCCTGCTCGGTGCGGCTGTCTTCGGCGCTGCCTGACCTGCAGTGCGCAGCTGTGAGAGTGACTTTGCTTTGGCAAAGCCTGGTTGGCAGTCAGAGTTTATAATCAATATCTTGGCTAGTGGTTGAAGCGCCAAAGGTGAGGCGCTAACTAGTTGGCGAGTTCCTGGAGCTCGGGCTTCCCTCTGGGCGAGCGCAGGGACCTTAGGCCCGGGCCTTTTCCTGTCAAGATGGCGACGCCCAGCACTCACGGCGTCTGGGTAGCGGGAGGTTAAGCTCAGTAACTTCAGAGCGATGCTGTGCCCGCGCTGCTGACTTCGAAAAAGCCCGGTGAACGCTGGGTGAGTGCGTTCTTACTGCACTAGCCTTACTGCAGCGTAGGGGTGACAGATCGCCGGTTGTTGTGCACTTTGCGTTTGGCCGTGACTTCCTATTTCCGGGATCTTCATTGAGGAGCTAGAATGTTTTTGTTTGTTTACTTTCTCTCTCTCTCTCTCTCTCTCTCTCTCTCTCTCTCTTGGGCTTGGGACACCATGCACCTCTTTTTTTTTTTTTTTTTTTTTTTTTTTACTTTTAAAAGCACAGTTTTGAAGCGCGTAAAAAATGATAAAAGTCTGTCACTATTAATTAGGGAACCCTTAGGACTTTAGGGATTTCCGAGGCATCTTTTCAGACCCAAGGCGGAAAGCGGGCTTTTCACAGAATTCAGCTTTTATGGATCATCTTGCTAAAGTAGTTAAGTTTCCTCCTCTGGTCCTTCATTTTAGGACTCTGCGAAGAGAAGAGTCAGCTAATCCTCCTTATCGTGTTTTGAAAACATCAGTGTTAGTTTTGGAATCTTGTTTTATATAATGACATTGCAATGAGCCATTCCTTTTGTATTGCTCGCCCCCAAACATAGCGAAGAGTAATTTTGATGATAAGACTGAGATTAAAGTAGATATATTATCATCTGTTTTGTTGTATCTGATTTTGAAAGCGTGTATACTCTATGTGAAGCAACTTTTATTTTTAGAAACATAAATGCAGGACATAATTTCTTTATTGTGTTTGCAATCTGTTGTCCCAGAATCTAAATTTACCTATAGTGGCCTTTAAAGATACTGACGATACAGTCCTTTTATAAAAATATCCTTAAGCCCTCAGTCTGATTTTGTACTAATAAAAACAGGTTTTTAAGTTTTTAATTGAATTTTTTTTTAATAAACAGTAACAGGACTTGTCTCACTATTGTTCCCTTGCTGTTTGGTTGGGTCATTGACTCAGGTTTAAGGAAACCCATTAATATTTTGAGATTATCTTTGTAATTTCTTAAATATCTGATGATTGTAAGGTAGATTTTCACGTTGTTACAGAGTAAGAGCAGAGATATGCTCTCTTGAGGCTATTGATATAAAATATAGGGCACCAGGAAAAACTATACTTTGCTAGTTACAGATAGAGAAAATTACCACAATGAGAGGAAAAAAAATGGTTAAATTATTTTGACTTGTCAATTAGAGTGGGAAATACACTTTTTCTGAATTTCACATTTATCTTGAAAGTGAAAGGATAATTGCTCTATGTGTTTTATGCCAAATTGCAAAGGTAATAATTACTAATGTAATGTATCGTAATGTCTTATCTTTGTTCTAATCAAATGCAGCTTACAGAATGTGCAAAGTTAAATAGTTTGGGTAGTAGATCTGTCACTTCAATGAGTGGTTGCGATTAGGAAACTGATAGCTTCTTAGTCTTAAGTAAAGTTTGTTAGAGGCTGTTGATTTGGACCAATGGACACAACAGACTAATCTTTTGTAGAGTTTAATCACAATAATTAAAATTATTCCAGATGTCCTAAAACCAATTAAATAACCAAGTTGCAAGTTATTGACTTCTTGATTATGTTGCCACCTGCTTGATTATGTTGCCACCAGTGACATCTTCAGTGCTGTTTCTATTTTCTGTAAATGCTTTCAGATCATACTGTTGTTAGAATTCTAGCACTTACATTGTTTAGTTTTGAATATGTTGCCTGATTTTCATGCCATTTTGTTTTTGAGGCTGGCTGGTTCAACTTAGTTGTTCTGTCTTAAACAACTCTGTAAGCTGCCTGATTCAAACTGGCTTCTGTCAACTTCTGACTGAATTGCTCTGCTTGGCCTCAAACTAATTCTAGCAATCAGTTCTAATTTTCTGGCTCCTCATTTTCTGTCTTGTTCTGTCTTTAATCTGTCTGTCTGTCTGTTTAGCTTGTTTTCCCTTTAACCTGTCTCTGTAAAACTCTCCCTGTAATACTGCCTCTGAGTTCCACAAACTGAACTGCCATGAACTCAATCCACTGCACTGCCTCTAAACTCCCTGACTCAACCAAACTAACCAAAGAGAACCGACAGGAACTCAGAGGTGTGCATGCCTCTGTGTCCTGAGTGCTGGGATTAAAGGCTTATACCACCACACCTGAACCTAAACTTCTGTTTACCTGAAACTTGTACCATACCTGACTGGCCTTGAACTCAGAGACATGCTTGCCTCTGTCCTGGAATTAAAGGCATGTCTGCATTCTAGCTGGATCACACAGACCTGGCAAGTCTTTGGATGTGATCTCTTGCCAGAGAATTAAAATTCTTCTACAAACATCCTTTCCCCAAACATGCAAAGATCCTTCTGCCTGTGCCTGTGTGCTGAATTATAGGTATGCACCACCACACCTAGCTCAAGGCTCTGACCTGAGTGAGGGTGCCTCATAGAAGACAGTTGGAAAATGACTGTGAGTGTGAGAAGTTTGATATTGTAGTTCCTGTTTTAGGCATAGGAGCAGGATGGACACAATTTATGTAGACATCTTTCTGTGATTTGGAATAGCTGAGTGTGAGAAGTAGAGTTTTCTGTCAGACTGCAGAAGTGGTTACCAGCTTCATTTTACTGGTATTTCCTCTTTATGAACTAAGTCATCTTCTTCGCCTGTGTACCAGCAAGTAGAATGTGCTGGTGGACCTAGTGGAATGGAATTTGTTAACAACGTACTGGCAGACTTGTTCTATCCAGAGACTTCAAACTTTGTATGACAGGAGCACTCCAAACTTTGTTCTTTATCTATGTATTTAGCAGGAAGCTGTCTAGCCTGCTTCTTGTAATTAGTTAGGGCTTCAGGTTATGTTTCTGGGGATATATACTTTGAATGCATTTGTAGGTAATGGTGATATGGGTTAGAAAGCACAAAGGGATGGTCATGTAATATTTGGTCTAAATGCAGGGAGAGGTCATGTCTATCCTTGATGCCTACATTACACCCAGGACTTCATTCCCTGGGCACCAGATATTGTTAGGGAATAGAAACCTTGAGCCCTGAGAATTAGGGTCTTTAAGGTGGGGATAATGTTCGAGTTGGCTTGGGAAGATTCAGATTTGAGTTGAATTGAGAGCAGAGGATTTGGATATGTTGGTGTGGAAGTTCCTTCTTAGATGAGGAAGCTTTCCTCTTTATCTTGAGGAGAGTGGAAGACCCTCATGAGGGAGAGCATATAAGTATAGCTTGGAGACTGGTAGGGATGAGGGATTCTTTCCAGAGCTGAGGGTAAGGGCATCCAGTGGGAAGACTCAAGGTGATCTGAACTGTCATGTGATCTCCATCTATTATTTCATGAACTGAGGGAATATTTTTTTCTCTGAGGAGAAACAAGCTGAGAGAGTAGCATCAGACTGTTGGAAAATGGGCTGTAGAGGCTGTTGGTTGAGGATGGATCTGTCCAGCTATACTGCTTGCTACCTTACTTCATATACATAGTCTTCTGTGCCAGCTTTAGGAATTTGAAATTGAATTGATTTCTCTGTCTTGTTTTTTTTTTTTTTTTTTTTTTCCTTTTATCTTTTTGGACACAGGATATTTTTCTGGGTAGCGCTGGCTGTCCTGGAAATTGCTCTGAAAACTAGACTGGCTTTGAACTCAGAGATCCATTTGCCTCTGTCTCCTGAGTGCAGGGACTAAAGGTGTGGCCTGATTTCTCTCTCTCTCTCGATCGTTTGCGTTTATTATTTGTATGTGTCTCTGTGTAGTCTTGTGTGCCATGCTATGCCCAGTTGGTACTCTCCTTCTCCAGGTAGGTCCCAAGCTTGATCTTAGGCTGTTCAGCTTGGCAGCAGGCTCTCTTACCTGTTTAGCCATCTTACCAGCTCTGATTTGTTGTTGTTGTTGTTTTGTTTTTGGATAATGGTAAATTTTAGTCATACTTGAATTTCAGTTTGGCTGGATCCTCTCATACTTGTAAAGCTAACTCCTCCGTGCAGAAAATCCTGTAAGTACTAACTGAAACTCTGAAGTGTTTTTATGCCTTTTTTTTTTTTTTGTTTTGTTTTTTGTTTTATTTTTGGTCCATTATGGTATTATTTTACATTTCAAAGAGAAAAGATTTGTTGATTTGTTGCCTTCTTGTGGTGTGTGTGTGTGTGTGTGTGTGTGTGTGTGTGTGTGTGTGTGTGAAAGAGAGAGGGAGAGACAGACAGATAGGCAGACATTTCTTCTTGAGATTTTCAAAGACATGTGTTTGTAGAGCATCTTTTCAAATAAGGAAATCTGTCCTGTCCTCTTTAGTGATCAGGTTCCCTGGCTTGTGGGTAGCAATGATGAAATTGTCAGTCAGTCAGTTGTAGAGAATTTTTATTTTTAAACCAGTTAATTTCTCCTTTTGGAAGGAAACCATATTTTCTTCACTAAATCACCACCAACGTGGGAATTCCTTGACAAGGGTAATATTCTGTTACATCATCTTCTTATTACTACTTATTAAGTATAACTCTTATGTTTTGGTGTTTCTTGTGTTTGAGAACAATGCACTAATTAAGCTAGCTGTAATAAAAGTAACAGCTATTAATTATTTGCCTTATTTTCTCTTATTTGAGCTTTGTGAGGCAGTTTATCAGCATCCCAATTTAGACATTTTTCTAAAGATAAATTTG